GTTCCTGGACCAAATCTGCCGGTGAGAATGAGCCAGGAGCCGCAGGACTAGCAACATCGACGGTCGGTTTTTGACGCGACTGGGACACCCGAAGTGGCAAATTACTGTCTTCAATATCCAATAGGGTGTCCCAAGGAGCTGCAGCTTGGTCAGGGAGGCCCTGGTAGCCAGTCCCCGCTCTCTCACACTCAACTGCAGAGTAACCGTACAACAAATTGCGTCACAACAATCGCGCCAGACGGGGCACATCTATCTTGCTCCGTAGCGATACCCTTTAGGCTTCGGGTAGCCAGACATGGAAAGACCACTTGAACTGCTGGAATACTCCGCATCCTCCCAGTTTCCATAACCCGTCGACGGCAAGGACTCATGCTTCTTGTTGCTAACAAACTAGCTGATACCTCTCCGTTTTGGCAAGCGAGTCTGTCTGTCTGCTTCCAAACATTACGTCACGGCCTTATTCACAGGGTTGGCCTGTTTTTAGCTTGAGACGGAAGATTGGCAAAGTTCTTGAAAACGGCACCAAGTGCGCTCGATGGTCACAGCTTTGGCCAATATCGGCTCTGCAATTGGGTCCGCACTGTCTCGATACTTTTCAGTTCTTGTATTGCATTGGTGGCGTCACTGGTCATGACGTAACTATGTCTAGTAAGATGCTGACGAATAGAAAATCTGAGCCAACAAAGCCAAGCAAACGAGCCCAACGTTGCTTGCCCACTCATGGTCGCCCCGGCACGGTCGGCGATGCGATCCTCAAAGGTGTGGTACCTTGCCATGGTTGCTCGAGGTCCGAACAGTGATCAGGACCAAATTGAAACGGTCTCTTGACTTGTTCAGAGTCATCCGCACGACGAGCTTGTGTCAAGAACTGTCCTCATCGACGGTGAAGGTTGCGATTCTCATAAGGAAGGGTCCGTAATTTGCGACAATGACGGAATTTCCAAAAATTTTCTCTGATTTCCGGCGACCCACTGGATTGCTCCGCGAGGACCGCTTGCTCCCGCCTTCTTCACGCGTGATTTGCTTGGATGGGGGATGTTGCTACGTTCTCGCGCTGGACGCCGAGGTGAATGAGAATGGAAGCATCCGACCAGCGAACGGGGAGTCTCAGGTCATCAAACGGTACGTATTCCCGGAGCAGATTGACTTGTCCCGTCGGCTACCGTCGTATGACGCACTAGACCCGGAGAACATCCTTGCATCCTGCATGCCTTTGCTCCTCCTTTCGCACCATCTTTACATCGCACTGTGCTCAAACTTTGCACTTTCGCGAGCGCGTCGCGTCACACTGTACACGGGTCCACTCGACCGACCCCTTTGAGCCTTGGACGCATTATGGTACCCAGCTCGGCCCTGGTATCTCGACGGAGCTCATGCTGGAATAACCAGATCTAAAGCTTTCCCCAGAATACATTGACGGAGCGATGACGGCAGAAATCCGTCTAGAGGATGGATGAGACGGCACGTTTGATGGGCGCCCAGTCTAAACCCAGGCTCGGCATCAATCTCGATATCGATCTGACTGCTGCATGCTCGATTTCCCTCTAGCGAAGTGCGAACGACCATAACGTCGCATGGGGAATTCGGGTCCAGAACCACAAACCCACGTCGTGCCTCGGACGAGAGACATCACGCTTAGCCGTAGCAGGGTCCGCTTAGACCTATCGTGCTGTCTAGGCCCAATGTTCTCCGTCCGGCGGCGTCCGCTGCCCCATTCCACCGGGTCGGCGCCACAAGTGCCTTGTGTAATCCTCAACTCCCCTCCGGGTCCCTGGCGGAGGATCTCGTCCGATAATCTGGGGCTTCGAATTTTCGACGCGCCAGCGCGCTTGTCTATGATGGAACCTTCGACATAGACTCAGCTGACGGGTTGTGCGCCTCTTTGCCGGATCGACAAGGTAACTTTCCGAATACTGATTATCAACATTTGAATTATGTTTGTTCCACTAGGTGCCCATATCTTCTTCGCTTCATATCACGCAAATACAAGCCCAAATATCCCTTCTTCCGAATAGATCGAGCAAGACCATGGGATGGATGGGATGTCAAACAAAGAGCCATACCGGCACATATACGATCCACTATGATAGGCTGGTACGTCCAAAGAATCCCGGGTATTGCATCAAAATCTATATCGGCATGCGTAGCAGCCGGACGTGGAAGCCTACGTCCCGCGGCTTGTTGGTAGCAGTCTTCATCCTTCCGCCAAGCCTACTTTGGAACTCATCTTTAGCTTATCGAGATTGCCACTCGATCTTCAGCCGTTGCAAATTATCCCATTTCCATTTCTTGAGCAGTGACAACAAAACATTCGGCAACCTCAGTTGTGGAAGCCAGTGGGGCATGCTGGGATGAAACTCAGCTTGCCCTTTCCGGCCCATGTATTCACGTAGCACGCGGTCTGACATCTCGAAGCCGAAAACAGCTTCTCGGTACGCCGGGACGATGGGAAAGTCGTGTGGACGGTCATCATGTGTGGCTTATTTCAGCATGTTTAAATTGCAGAACATCTCAGCTAGTCGCTAGCCGCGGCGCCCTGATATGTTTCGGAGCTGCATGTTGATCACATTCCTCCCCTCTTTAACAAAGTCTGATGAAGCTCCAGATTCTCGATGGGTAGTTTATCAGTGATGTAGCGCGGGCGTTTGTTTCACGTTTTCCCCAACTGCGCCGCATGGTGTCACGCCGAGCTCTGATAGAACGCTTTCTGAGTCTTCCCCCCCCCCCCCGAACCCTCGCTCCGGTTTGTAAAGACACTCTGGAATGAGTAGGTCTTTGGCCGGAGCAATATACCCAGTCCCTCTTTCGGCAACGGCACCCGGCGAATGACGAAGGTTGCAAAAAACGACTTCGGGCCGTGCTCGCTCGCGGGGGAAAAAGAAAGAAAGAAATCACAGCTTCGCGGCCGCCCCGGTGCGCGCGTTATACCTCTCCAGCTTCTCCACCCGGAACCCATGCCTCGGCGCGTGAACCCTCACAGAGGTACCCTTGGGCCCGGTGACCTCGAAGACGACCTCATCCCCGTCGAGGCTGACGAGCTTCCCCGTGTCCTTGTGCGAGGCGCCCGTGTCGGCGGGCCAGACGATCACCTCGTCGCCCGCCTTGAGATCCTGCGCGATCACCAGCAAGTCTTTGGCGTCGACTCCTCCCGTAGTTGATTCGTTATACGACGACGAGACGACGATCTCCGCCGCCTCGTCGCCCGACACCGTCGCTACCTTCCCAGCTGCCTTTCTAGCGTCCGAGGTCGTCTTCTGGAAGCGCTCGATCCAGGCAAAAACTTTGGGAAACTGCTCTTTGGAAACGTGCTCCGCCGGCAGCGCGCCAGGGAGAGAAGCTAACCAATGCGGCAGCCACACGGCCTCGATATCCGCCAGCGAAGGGCTCTTCGTGCCGGAAACCCAGTCCCGCCCGTCGGCGAGCAGCGTCGTCTCGAGGAGCGCCACGGTGCGGCGGATCTCGTTGATGGCGTTGGGCCGTCCGCGCTCTATCGTCTCGGCGGAGAGCTTGCCGCCGACAAAGTCCTCGCGGTCCTTGAACCAGGTGCGCTTGGGGTCCTTGAGCATGGGTAGGTTCGTGGGCAGGACGTTGATTGCGTTGGAGAAGACGGAGTCGATGATGAGGGCTTCGAGGAGGCGTTCTACGGCTGCGTGTTCGGGGGTGGTGGCGCCGAGGCGGGGCCGTGAAGGGTAGAGTTGCTCGAGCTTGCGGAGCATGAGGCGCGTGTCGAGGTAGACGTCGCGGCCGATAGCGAGGATAGGGATCCGGCGGTAGTTGAGGCCTAGTTTTGACACGTCTGGGCGGGGGAGGACTGGTGGTTGCATCTGGAGCGGTTTGTTAGTTTTTTGTAGGTGAATAGGACCACGGACAAGGAATCGTGGTGAAGATGAAGGTGTGAGAATTGTCGACTTACACACTGGACATAGGGGATGCCTCTGAGAGCTAGGTACCACACGATCCGCTTCGCATAGGGCGAGGCGGAGTAGTGGTACAGCACAATCTTCTTGTCCTCGTCGGATGAAGCCATTATGTTCGGTTTGGGGTGTTACGCCTAAAGCGATTGAGAATGAGACGAAGTGAGATGAGGTGCGAATGCGATGAGAAATGAGCGAGCTTCTGTTGATTATTGGTGAAAAGCACTAAACTGAGATGAGATGAGATGAGATGAAATTGGGCAGTGGATGAAGTGTTGAGGACTCAAACGGTCGATGACGATGAAAGAGAATGGCGGGAAATCTGCGAAACGACCGGGAGATATGTTCGAGATGCCGAGGCACAAACGCGACGGGGGCACCTAGCGGTTCCCAAGCTAACGTGGAGTATGCGGGATTAAATGGGGATAAGAGAAGCCAATGGGAGTGCTTTGTGGGGTTGCTCACCTAGGTGAGTTAGCCAATTGGGTGTTATACTTTTAACCTCTCTTTTCTTCAGGACTTGATAATTCGTGGTGTTTTCTTATTGAGAATCTCGAGTAGAAATTTCAGGACAATGATATTGATTTCGGATCCATTTTGTAGAAGAATCTTTAAGGTGGCATTTCGAGGGCTGAGAGAAGGTGCCATGAGCGAGGTGCTTCAGCGAGGCATAATAAATTGCAACATACGTCTGCCTCCCTGGTTTCGTAATTGTTTTACTCTCATTTCATAATGCTTTGAGGTTCGCGCAACATAACGTATATATAGAGGCGCAAACTGTCATATGGCTTGCTAGGAGTTCAGCTGTCATATAGCAGGACAATCTACAGCATATATTACTGTTGGTTCCAGCCCGCAAGCAAATAGGCTAACCTCCAAGAACGACCTTAGGTATACTAGACAATTTACAACGTACTTCAGAAAGTATCAGGCCTACTGTCCTGCACAGCTAAGTCCAGAGCTGAAAATTAACAGTGAGATTCCATAATCTACCTTCTCCGCTGGGCCCGGATCCAATACTCAGACTGTGCGTGGATACCGCAGTTGAAAGTCTTCCAAGGATCCAACGGATCGCAGATGGTGAGCTCAAGTCGTCGAAGCAGCTGATAGAACACCCTTGTCAGCATTTGTCTCGAAAATCAGGCCTTCTGGTCCCCTTCCAACGTGCTGGGATGGCGCAAAAGAGTAGAGCAGGAGAAAGAGAAATCGCCACAGCAACACGTACCTCGAAGAACACTTTGTTCAACTCCATCAACGCAACCGGTCTCCCAAGACACTGATACCGCCCATAACTGAAAATCAACTCAATCGTAGCCTCCATCTCGCGCAGTTTTTTCTCTGCTGCGCCTGCCGTCCCGTCTTCTTCTTTTGCATCTTCACCCTGACCGACAAGCCACCTCTCCGGCCTAAACTCGTCCGCATCCTCGCCAAAGACGTCTGGCCGGCGGAACATGGCCCATGAAGACCACCCGACGCGCGTGCCGCCGGGGATGAAGACGCCATTCCACGTGTCGCCCTCTGGCGGCGCCTGCTTTGCCATCAGACCCGCCACGGGCGGGAAGATGCGCAGCCCTTCTTTGATGACGGCTTGGAGGTAGGGTAAGTTGCGGGCTTCGGCGTCAGATATGATGGGGCGGCGAGCAGTGGTGTTGTATTTAGAGAGGATCTCTGCTAGGAGTTTATTGTGGACGCGGGGGTTCGTGATGATATAGAGGAGCGTGGCGCGGATTGCTGTTGCTGTTGTGTCGGAACCGGCGATACTTTTGTAAGAGAGCCGTCAGTCTTTTTTTTTCTTGCCCATCCTTCTCCCCTAATCATATAACCTGACTGGAAAGAGCAAAGGTGAGTAGACAACTTACATCTGGAGCAGGATCTCAGATTCAGCTTCCTCTTGCGTGAGGCCATGGGTGACGAAGGAACCCAGCATATCCCTCTGGACTTTCGCATCAGGACCAAATCGCTCGGCGGAGAACCTTTTGGCTATTCTATATGCGGGAATATCAGCGGGAATTATGCAATGCTCAATATCAAATCAGGATAAGAAACATCAGATCTGTCTCACCCCATCACCTTACCAAAACCCAGCGGGTCCTTCGCCGTAGGCAACATCGACCTAAGAAAAGGATACCGAAACAATCTGATAACCCAGGGTACAACAGTCATGCCCATAAACACGGGCAAATTCTCCTCCGTCGTCTTGATGTACTCGTACATATCCGAATCAGACGCCACGAACCCAAACGGCTCCCCAAACGCGAGATCCGAGATGACGTCCAGCGTGAAGAAATGCGCTTTTCTCCCAAAATCGAATGGTTTCCTCCCGTCGACGTAGCGTTCAATGAGTCTGATCAGCCGGACGAGGTTGCCGTCAATCTTTTGCTCAAAGGCCTGGACCTCGCGGCCAGAGTACTAAGGAGAGCCATCTTCGTCAATTACTGATTCGATGGGGGGGGGGGGGGTTTCCTTTGACATAACTCACTCCCGCGGCCATCTTTGATCGTAGCTTGGTGTGTTCATCCTCGTCTCTGCACGAGAGGACGTTGTCCCTCGACGGGTTGAAGCGCATGCCGTCGTACCAGTCTGAGCGCCGGTACTCGCTCCGCACGCCGAGCATGCGCCTCATGAGGCCAGGGTCGTCGTTGAGGAGGTCATTGGGGCCGATGCGCGCAAGGGATCCTTTACAAGTTGAACTTCTATCAGCCTCAAGTTCATGTGCGCCTGCGGTCTGGAAAACCTTCAAGTAGACCATTATCTGTCTAGAAAGCGAATTTCCCCCCACATTGTACGACTCGGCGAGCACTCGAGCACCATATTGGTAAAGCAGAGACAAAGTCACTCACCATATTTCTTTGTCACGTTGTAGAACTCGAGATGACCCCGAGATCCCGTCACGGTCTTGAGGAGCCACGACTTGGACACAGCTGCCAGAGGAGGACCTTTAAAGTGCCGCAGTCGCCGGTACTGTCTCGTCGTCTCGTAGACTCGGAACAGCACAAAGATAACAAACAAGGTAGCCAGAAGAGTCCAGGTAGGATGCCGATCCCAGTGATTGTAGAACGAACCAATGAACAGAGGGCTCCTGGCTATATCTGGACCCATTCTGAAGGGTGAATGGGATGATTATACGTCAAAGTATGTTTTGCTGATGATGACGTACATAAGAATTGTAGGATGTAAAGTATGAAGAAGACGGGAAAAATCATGTTTCTCCAAAGGCTACAAGACAAGAATCACTTGTCAAAGGGGAAAGGAGAGTGGGGAGCGGAAATGATGGAGCAACGGATGGCAGCGTTCGTTGGTCCTGTTGGTTCTCACATTAAACCACTTGGCAAATCTCCCCCTCTCCACTGGAGCAGCGGGATATGATATCCCTCGCCCTATGACTGGACCAGTTTGTTGGAAAGTTTGCTTGCACCCATGCTCGAGAAAACTTGTAACTACTGGAAAATGGCTTGAGAAAAGCAATGTGTGCTGTCGTCTTGATACGGGGCGGAGAGCCGACCTGAAAATGGCATCGAGGTTCAGACTGCATTTCCAGAGTATGTGCAGATCTGGCCATACGGTCATCTGCGAGAATTAATTGGCCTACAAATCGGATCTTGTATGCACCTCATCCTTAGGTCTGACAGGCTCGGCAGTTGGTGGTACCTCATCTTACCATATCTAGCATTTACGCCTGAATAGAAGGGTTCTCGGAAATCGATCTATTTATCGGTTTGAATTGACCATAGGGATTGAAGAGAATTTTGGGATATACATGTATACGTACGTTGGGGAGTGTATCTGCTACGGCAGTCGATCAGGACTGGCGGCCGCGATAAGTTCAACATTTTGAAGCTTTGTCTGAACGGGTTTGTCTCTAAAGACTGACCTATATTCGTTCACTGAAACTCGTCCCATCAGTCACCGGGAGCTCTTTGAATTGCAAACGCTAATCTTAATCCCATACCACTTGGTCGAAGACGTTCGTCAAGAAGGGAGGCAGAAACCAGACCTGGCCATATACATTACGCATTCTTCCACTTGAGATCCACGAGTCAAATTCCAGTCCATTTCACAGTGGTAAACTTCCTACTCAACCCGACCTTGTGTAGATATCAGACATAGATCACGACTTCTTGATGGATGTGCAGCCTTAGAAGACGTTCCTGCCCGGCCGCTAGAAGAATAGCTTGCAGACGGAGCGGCCCCACACGGCGCCCCGAGCTAAACGAGCGGCGTGTACTTCAAGACGGCAATTTTCGGACTTTGCAGTGGTCAAGTCTCAGAACCATCTAATGACAATCCAAGCATTATCCCACAGAGAGGGAGAGGGCGCAGATCCAAAGCAACGCGGTCTGTCTGCATGCTAAGAGTGGCCCGGCCGGGAGCATCCCAGTAACTCCGGGGTAGCAGCCGCGATGCCAGCCCATCTCACTTCCATCCCAACTCTGACCGCAGCCGGGTGTTGCGTCTCATTCTTCCCCCTTTCCCCGAAACCTTGCGCGGGCATACTGGCAATAAAACAGCGAATCGGAATATCGCACTGGGGTTCCCCGTCACTTTTCAGGAAAAAATCGTCCAAAGTCTTTTCGGTAGATCGTGCTTCAACCGCGAGCATACATGGTGTGTTACTTTGACGGCGTTCAAGCCCCATGAACTGCGTCCGTCTACGGGTAGCACAGGTTGTTTTTGTTGGCGACAACATTTGAGCCCTTCTCACCATGCATACGCGGTCGGGTTTCGGTCTTGAGGGGCTGGGTAAAGATTGTTTCTGGGCAAGGAATACCACGAGCGGCAGAGTGGTGTTTTCAGTCCACAACAAATGCAAGTACGGTTCTCAACAAACCGACCTCTTACTACAACCTCAAACAATGTCCAGCTTGCTCGTCTAGACATGAAAACAGCGCAAGCTTACTACAATCCAATGGCTTGTAACCGAGATTCCATCGGTGGCGGTCACAGCGCTGAAGAAACGTCAAACTGGGAGCAGTATGGCGATACTTTTGTCTTGTAACGCCGCAGAACGGCGAGACATGCCGAGGAGATATCTCGTTTGCGACATGGAATTCTGTAACGGCGGAATGCTGCCGTACATAATTCTTAAGACCTTACAGTGAGACCACCACTGGGCTATAGCTTCGCGTCAATCTGAGATGAATACGAACACACAAGAGATTACTAGCTCTGACAACAACAAGTGAGGCAGAACTCAGCTCACGGACTTCTTACATGCTAGAGGTGGTCTGGCCTTGGCGAAGGCTTTCTGACGCAAAATTGGCGGTAAGATGAAGAGCTGAGATTATATGGCCCAGGTGAGACATTGCTGCAAGGTGGGGTCGAATGAGGATTCGGGGCGCGGCGCCGTATGCTTTGTGGAAACGCGGGGAACGGGAGTCTAAAGTGCGGGCGTTAGCTACCCGTAGCGGACAGCTGAAGTATTGATATTTGGTGACGAGCAAACACAAACCAAAAGTAACGGAGGCGCCAATCATATGGTGATGTATCTGTGTACGCCGCTTTTGGAAGCAGGTCTCGTGTCCGAGGTCAAGGTAGCCTGGCAGCGTCGGATGGGCACTGAGCCGCGACCACAGCAGGCAACTGTGCGCCAGTCAGCTACTCGAGACCGAAGCGTAGCTGCACACCGCAACTCGGTATGACAGCAAGGAATTCCTAGTGGTCAGGTAAGCTGCATTTGGGGACGGCAAGATGCAACAGGAGTGTGGTGAGCATTTCGTACTCTGGACGTCAATCCCCCATCCGAGCGTATAGTAGCGGAAGCTTGGGCCGAGGCCGACAGGCTAAAACAGACCATTCGCCTCGAAGCGCGTAGACACCCGGTAACACAAACACGCTGGACGAGTAGAGACGGTCGTGGTCAACACCCTTGCTGCGCCGGCTTGTGTTCCCCGAGGATGGGGGCGGCAGGACGATAGGCCAGCCATGACAACTGGCATGGGAAGTGAAATGAGGTATTGATGGATGGCGGCCTGTGTTCAAGGGTAAGCGGCGCCATGACGCTAATGGCCTTGAATTTTCCCGTCCAGATCAGGGGAACGACGATGGGTGTGCATGTTTTGAGGCACAATAGAAACGCCGGGAAGGCGTGAGAAATCCTGTTGACAGCTGGAGCCTGGAGGCAACGTGGCAGAAAGAGGTGAGGTTGAACCAGAACCTTTTTGGGGCCGTGAGTCAGGAGTTAGGACGCAAGCCGTATGTAGAGGCGAAGGAGGGTATTTACGTCGTTTGCGGAAACTTGGGAAGCTTGATACGAGCGGCCTGGTTGATTGCACGACGTGGGCTTGCTGACAATCCGCAGCATTGTTGATGAGGCTGCAGGGGACGTGTAAGTGGTAGGACGCCATACCCTACCCTATCCTGATTGCTAAGATGCCTTCTCTAGTCTCGGTGTCTGCGTGCCACGATGTATTCGTACTCCATACTTGGGAGTAGCTACGCTCCGTTGGCCTCCAAGCCCCTGTCTCGCAAGACCAAGAGTCCAAAACGAGTGTCGGATTGGGGGTCACCCAAGAGTGCCGTCGCAGGACGGGAAGGTGAAGTGTCAAGGTGTGTAGGTTGTAGCATGTCGTTTCCAGGCCTAGTCCACCGTCTACCTCGTGGCCGAGATGTGTTTGGGGGAACGAGGTGGTGTGAAGCTGCTGTGTGTTATGTGTTGTCTGCTATGTGGTGTGTACAATAGTAGGGGGAACCTGGAAGTTCCTTGCCCGTGGCTCCGTCCCCAGAGTTTGGGGAATGCAGGAAGTTGGGGGTTCCCTTACTTTGGCGGTCTTCTCCGCAAAATGCAAGAGAGACCCCACATTCCCCTTACGTACCTGATTAGTGGAGTCTAGTTACCCGCCTTGGTCCACTTCAGGCAAGGAGGTTGTGGGAGGGAAGTTCCAGATTCGATTGAAGAGGAAAATTCAATAAAAATGAGAAAATGCTCTGTGCCTCTCTATCCCATCCCCATGGACCATTCTAACGTCTAAGAGAACGGACGAGAAAAGCCCGCGTAAGGAGGTATGGCGATCCGGCGCGTGAGCCGAATGTCAGATAGAGAGCAGCTACCTATGTTGTACGTAGGTACTCCCCCATGGGCTCAAAAAGACACATGGCCTTGCTATCCCCGTCTCCCCGTCGGCAAGCATTACCTTGCCTCTGGGAATAATGGCCGACTCTGTGACATTTGGAGGATTTTTGTCAATTGCCCCCATTCCCTCTGCAATCAAATAGAGGCTTTTGAAACTAGTCAAAGTTGTTCTATCACTTCCAAATTCGGTTTGGAGGTGAGTTCCTAAGGCTCGTCACCGAGATAAGGTCTATCCCTCGGTCCCATCTTTTGACGATCTCAAGTGAAAATGGGTTAGAAGGATGCCGCCTTACCAATTTGACTGGAATTCAGCAACGCAAGATGCGAGCTACAGCTCCGTAACCGTCTAGATCATGCGAAAGGCAAGCGGAGCCTCGGAGGTACTAGGATACCTCACTCCACAAGTCCACATTAATACAGCACTCACTATTAGCACCTCGTCCTCATTGATTGCTAGGTTGAACTTGCCGTACGATTTCCGTCCAATACGTTGGGGAAAAAAGAAGGTACAACTTCCGACTTCCGGCGGATGGGACGACCTTGAACAGAATTGGAGACTGGACGGAGCCCCATCCCTCCTTGCGCCTTATTCTCATCCATTCGATCCGTTTGGCCCGCAAGTTCCCCCAAAGCGCAAGGTCCTAGGCTGCTGTGGGATTATTCTCGTACTGCGTACCCGCCTGCCGCATAAGCAAGAAAATCCGGGGCCAGAAAAGACGATGAAAAGTTACCAGCGGATAGAGAGAAAGAAAAGTCGCCGACGGCATGCGACAGCTGGGATGACCCAGACGCGAATGGCGGTAAAACCCGTGGGAGCTCTTGAACAGTACAAAACAAGAAAGGAACAGCCCTGTTCTGTTCGATCCCAGCTTGCCCTGGCTTCCGGCGGCATTCTTTCTCTGTTTCCCCGAACTGATCACCTCTTTATCTGAGGAATTGCACCGACTCCATTATCACACAGGCGGTACCTATTCGCAGTTTTTGTATCCGCCGTTGCGGCATGCTCTATGCCTAGAAAACGAAGACGACGGGAAGGATGGGCAGGGAGGAAGACTGCGAAAGAAAGCCCTGCCTCGGCAGAATACATGCTCAAACCCCTTTGATTTCTATTGTCCACCCCGTGTCGCCAGGTGCCTTATCTGTAGTTGCCCCCATTTTAGTGGTACTCACTTATTGCGTACTCTTACACCCAACAACCGAACGGTCAGGGTCAGCCCATCCGGCCCCATCGCCGAGCTCACGCAAAGGGGCAAGCAGCCCTGATCCTGGTAGAGGAACATCCACATGGAACATTCCTCCCCTTCCAGACTTCCAAGCTTCCAGCACTCCCCCGTGAAAGCCGGGGATTGTCTTTTGGAGGACCTCCATGGATGATGAGAGCCGGTTTGGGGCTAGCCAGCACAACAAACAGAGGGCAGCACGACAGAAGATTGGACCGTACGACATGTTGCTTTTTGACCGACGAGCCTGATGTCCAGAGGCAGCCAGAGGCAGAACACTGTCAATATGCGTACCTTGCTGTTTCAATAGGGATGCAAAGTATCAACTACCTTACGTGCCTTTTCATAAAGCGCGGGTACGTCAAGAGTCTGCGCGAGCTCCCACAAATGAATGCCCATGGTAATCATAAAAAAACTACAGCCAGTCCACTGAGACATGATACTGCCCATTCGTCATGACACAAGCACGACAAGCCCGCCCCAGCCCAAGCACAGGTGCTTCATCGTCTTATACTTTGCCTCATTAGATTGCGACATTGCAAATCGCAAGCCTCGCATGCCAGCTCTCCGCGATCTTCGTTGTGTACCTATCCGTACCTCTCATGCCCCTCTGCCTTTATCATTCCGTCTCAATTCCACGTCCGTCTAACATCGGGTAAGGACTCTCTACTCTACCCTGACAGTCTGCCTTCTGTTTCCGCCAGTCTTTGGAGCCCGTGAGCTGTCAAAGAGCAAACTATGGTCCATCCCAACTTCCTCGCCATTTTTCTGAACCCTCATCATCCTCTTTCCACCTCTCACTCCTCTCCCTCTCACTCTCACTCTCACTACACCCCCCTCCCTTCTTCGTCTTGCTCATCTCCCCTTCATCACTGGAACCCCTGACTTTCTTCCCCACGCTTCCGTTGAACTCTCCCGGCAACTGCAACCTTACCCGCGCCTCTTGTCGATTTGCTCTGCCCATAGCCCACCCTTTCGACCGTTCGGTTGGGTCCTTTTTGCTCCCAGGCATTCCACCCACCCTGGTCTTGTTTGCGCACCGACTTGACCAGCCCGGGGGTGGTCGGTCTACTTACGACACAAGGAAAGGAATTGTGAAATCTCTGTTACGGATCGCGCACAAACGCCCGGTCGCACCCTCTCTCGTTGTCTCTCTGCTCTCTGCCTTTTTTCTTCTCTCTCTGTGTGTGCGTGTCTGTCAGCCGATTCTCATTTGGGGCTCTCGGCTTTAAATATTCTGGCATCTGCACTTTCCTTACGCCTCTTGCCCTCCATCTCGTCCACCTACCTTACATACGCCTCCCCCATCTCAAGGATTATCACTCCACTCGACTGTGTCTCGGCACCAGTTCCAGCCTCGACAACGCCTCTCAACAAGCAACCATATCCACAGCTGTCTTTATAATCCCCGTTTCTTCCCCAGATTCTTCCGTACAGATACAGATCCATCACCATCGGTACGTGGAGTCTGTCGACAACGCAGCAACATCCAGACTCTTTGTCTAACACCTGCGTGATAGGACTTCACCTGTTCATCCCCTCCGGCACACACAATCAAAATGCCTGCCAGCCAGATCCAGATCGCCTCGCCTCTACCTATTTCTCCTCAACGGAGGAATCTGCGCCTGATGACGGGCCAAGATCTCTACACAAGTTTGAACGCGACTCTCGCCTCAACCACCCACCGCCCGGTGACGCCTGTACATATGATTCAAGAGAACGACTACAGCGTGCCGGCGCCTCCTCCACCAAGCCCGGTATCATTCGCTACAGACCACTGGCAGTCATCGATCCGCCGATGAGATGTTCTTGTTCAGAGCTACGAACGAATTCTTTTTGCCCACTGTTCGACATAGGGGCTACTCTTTGCTTGTACAATCAGCATACGGACAAATCATGGGAGTACGGGGCGAAATGCGCGGAGCAAACTGTTTTTTTCTCGAACGGCTCGCGAAATGAGGTTTAAACAAAAAGCAGGACTGGCACATATCATGGGTTTCTTCTTCTTCTTCTTCTTCTTCTCGGTCTGCATACGGGGTTATTGGCAGCAAGTAGCCACCCAAAAAACGTTGATGGTTGGAGACGACGATGGGCGTACCACCTTACACATTATTCGGAATGCACACTCGTTTTCGGTGTGCAACTAGGAAATTGGCCTTTCTAGCTATGAATTAACATTGATAACACATTTTCTTTTGGCAACCGCCTTTGCCTATAGCTGCTGCGTTTTAAAAGACCCGGGGATTGTGACTCGTTCTGCGAATGGTTCGCCGGTTGACAGGGCGTCAAAAGGGCCGTCCCATGTTTGCATTGGAACAGCTCGAACAGCCTAATCCCCCCGGGTTGTTGACAGATGTGAGGCAAGCAGGGACAAGCAAGGAATCTCAAAACAGCAGTTACAATGCTTTTCCCAAATTTGGATTGCGAGTTTGGAAGTCGGGCAGAATATTCGTCCATACTGACTCCCTTCTGCACTTGTTCAACCTTTTTTTCGTCCCTTCCATTTTCTCCGGGGGAACCTCGACGGGAAGAGCTTCCGTTGCCCAGACGGTTGGGTCCCACGGAAAAATAGAAGGTGGAGGATGGTGCCGAGGTTTCGCCTGCTGAGAAAGCACGGGCCACCAGCACCAGAGCCAGCGCGCCCCACCACTTAACGCGACTTCTCGCCTGCATCGTGTGCACCTTTCGAAAAACGCGTCTGTCGCGGTCGGTGGTCCGCGACCCCCTTAGCCCGGCGCGTTGCTGCCATCCGTTGCTCCATCATTTCCGCTCCCCACTCTCCTTCCAATGTACAAAACCTCTTCATACTCTTCATGACTTCTTGATACTTTCAACTTGTACCTTCTACACGAACCGAGACTTTTTAATTGCGCTTGCCAATCCTCTCGACTTCTACTTCTCAACTTCACAGCTTCCGCTTGTAATCTGCATCGCTCTCGACCGCCTACGTTGTTCTCCTCTCATCACCTAGACGACCAGCACTTGCACATCTCGACGCAATGGCTCGCGCAGCTTCCCGTCGGCAGGTTAAGCCTGTTGCAACCACGCCAGCGACCAACCTCATCAGCAAGTACGGCCGAGTCTTCAAGACACACCATGCTCCCGTAGACGACGCTTCAAAGAAGGTCTTCTTCATCGGACTGCCCTCCTCTCTTCCCGTCGCCAAGACGGAAGTTAAGCCAGAGATTAAGCTCGAGTCCAGCCCGGAAAGAGCTCTCCCCCCTCAGCCTACAGCAACACCCTCAAAGAAGCGCAAGGCAAGATCGAACGACGAGGACGTCTCACTGAGAGATGCGAGAAGCGACGTCCCAGGATGCGAGTCTCTGAAGCGTCAGCGAGTCTTCAAGAGTGGGAAGGACGAGCCTGTCCCCATTAAGCTTGAGGTTGTCCCCACAACCGCAACCACCACCACTGCTGCTTCTACACGAAAGAGCACCACATCGCCAGTCGCCGACAGCCGCCGAAAGACTCGCAAGTCGGACGTCATCTCCCAAGCAAAGACCGAAGTGCGCAAAGCCAACCAAAAGGTCAAGCAAACAAAGAAGCACAATGCTACAAAGTCAGAGATCAAGGAGGAGGTTGTCAAGAAGCAGCTGCCTGCCGAGCTTCTGGAGCTCTTGGACCTGCAACGCGCCATCCTCAAGACTGTTTCTCTTCAGCTCGTGCACCAAAACAACAACGCACCGCTTGATATCAGCTCGATCGCACCTCACGTAGCCCGCACATGGGGAAAGAGGAGAGTCACAGTGGACGACATTCGGAGATGCATTGCCATCCAAGACACAAAGACACCAGGCCAGGAGGATGAGTCCCTCTGCTCGCCCTTTATCGTCACCGACTACGGCCGTGGCAAGCTCTGCCTCGAGATGGATCTCACCAAGAACATTGGCCGCATCGACGAGAATGAGCTCTGCCGACAGTTCGAGAAGAACCTCCACATCATGTGCTCCCAGCGCGCCATGGATGAGATGTCGGATCTCGATATCTGCTTCGAGAACCTGAGCTTCAACGACCTGCCCAAGTCCGATATTACTGTTCGTCACACAACCATGTCGGAGAACCCCCTGTTCGCCAAGGGACAACGCGCCTTGACTGGAATCAAGAACGACATCCTCAAGAAGCAGGAGAGAGAGACGCAAACCCAAGCATCGAAATTCCCGGCACTCAACCCCAACGGCACCAAGATGACCCTCCTCGACAGACTCCGAGCCAAGGAGGAAGCCAACGCCAACATCCAGCTCCCTACCGGCCCCGAGATGGCGAGAAAGCGCGCCCTGCAGCGGGTGGGAGACATCTCCGCCGTCCTCTCCATGCTCGTGTCGTCGTCGAATGCGGCCGGACAGATGGTTGTGTCCTTCACCATGCCTGTTCTGCAGCAGAAGCTCAAGGACTCCCTGCGTGTACCCATGTCCATGGAGGAAGGTGTCGATGCGGTACGTCTGATTGCCAAGGAAGTCGCACCGGAATGGTTGAAGGTTGCAACGGTCGGTGGTAAGGAGCATGTCGTCATCCAGACGAGACGCAAGCCGTACGAGGCGGAGCTCGCTGCGCGAGTGAACCGACTTCTCGCATAGTTGAATTCATCTGAGGGAGAGGTTATCGGTGGAAGTGTGTTCAGGGGATTGGGTTGATGCATAGCATAGCGTGTTTTCTGCATACGGAGTTTGGAAGATACCACAGACAGAGGGATGAGACTCACATGGAGTTGCAGGTGCTTGGGTTCATTTGAAGGGGGGCAAACATGTAGACTTGACACGATGAAGGTGTAAACAGTCACACATTTAGAGACTGCAGGAGATGCAGATAATGGATTCAGTGTAATCGTCAGCTTTGGAGTCGCCAACTCATCTATTGTGCTGTAAAACGTCTAGGAACCGTAACCTTCATAAAGAGCTAGCCTCTCGAGACAGTTCTGAGTCTTCAGTCTTGTATCATGCTATGCAACCCAAAGCCGAGTTCATTTTGTTGTTCAATACGACCATTTTTCGCCTTTCCAAGGATCCAGACTCCCAGCGCAAGCAAGATTAAAGCCACGAGCGCTCTCTCTCTCTCTCTCGTGCTGTGCCGTGCCCTCCCCGAGACTGTGACGATTCCACCGATTGAGTTGAGTGGTATCAATCAAATAAGAAGAAACTACTGAAAAAAAGTTGCTCATTTCTTCTTGGCGAAGCGCGGCTCGCCAATGTTGGCGCCGCGCAGCTTGACGTTGAGGACGCGCTCCATGGCCGACAGGATCTTTTGGTCGGGGGCGGCGCTGCCGCGCTCAAAGTCGGCGACGATGGACTGGGTGGTGTTGCACTTTGTGGCGAGGTCCTTTTGGGTCATCTTGGGCTCCATCTTTTGGCGCGTCTGGGAGATTGCGTCGCCGACCTCCTTGCCGACCGTGTTGGGCTTGATGATGTCGTCGGAGCGGTCGACCTTTGTGAGGCGCTGGCCTTCGACGCCGGGCTTGGTGGCCTGTCGGAAATGAGAATTAGCAACGTTTGATATGGGAATTTTGCAGACTTTCAGAGTTTCGCTGGGAGGGTTGGCTTCAGGGGTGATTTGCACTCTTTCCTCTCCATCTCCCGTCATCAATTGAGAATTGTGGAGAATGGAGGGGTGAGGTTGGGCAAGGGCTCATGATGTCAAGCGTGAATTTCAAAGGATGCTTTCTATCGCGCAGGAGAGGGATTGCCCAGGAGGAAAAAAAAACATACAGCATTGCCAGCGGCATACTTCTTCTCCGTTCCAATGACGGAACCGCTGCGCTGAGCGGCGTTGAGGGCGCTCTTTCCCTTGATGACGGTCTCTCTCTGCACGCCTCCGCCGCGGGCCTTGGAGCCGATCTTGGTGGCGGTGTCCCAGTCATCCATTGTGGGCGGTTCGGTTGGGTGTGTGAAGAGTTGTGTGTTCAAGATAGGGGTAATTCGATTGGTGCGAAAGGAGATGTGTCCTACTTTCGCTGTTCGTCGGGGGGTTGGTGATGTGGTCTCGTGAGGTTTGTGTTGTTGGCTTGTCGGTGGAGGGGGGAAGGAAGGTTAGATAAAAGAGGGTTTCGTTGCGTCAGTTTTTGGGAGGCGGCTGTTCAAAGAGACAGAGGGGGGCCCTGAATGTCTTTGTGGCTGGTGCGTGGGCTGGTCGGCAAATGACAGGTATGGAAGTCGATGGACTGGCATAGATGGCAAAAAACCGGTGGGGGGAGGGGAGTCGACGGGGAGGGACTGAGCGAACTGAGTCAACCGGCGGAGGTAAGAAGGGCGGATATCCCTGCATGTGCCTAACGCCGCCGCCGCAGCAGAGCAGAGCACCAGGGCAGATCCGACTGTCAGACTGGGCTGCAAATGGCGGGGTGACCGACCTGACCTGAAGAGCCTCCCCCTCCTATTGCTGAAAGCTGTTCCCCAGCTGACGGGAGCGCTCTGCGTACAGGTTTGGGAGCCTTACCGCATCTTCTCCCGGTGGCTGCCCCGGCCGGTCTCTATTTTTGCCTGACTGCGCCACACATCGGATTCGGGGCCTTCGAGGTCTCTTTTTCATCGTCTTCCATAATCAGGTCAGCCCGTTGGAATTCGGAAGAGCGGCCTCCAGGGAATACCTTAGGTACGAGGTATTATTCATTCCATTGTCACTCATCGCATTTAACGGAAGTAAGTCGTTGATTCCGCCCAGGTTCCCTTGTCGGCTGTGCAACCTGACCCTGGCCATATGGCAGCACCTGCCTTTGTTGTGTTCTGAATATGGCAACCTGCTTGCCTTGATCATGATCAAGCGAACTGTATTTCGGGCAATGGCTTCTATGGATCAATGGCGTCCATGAATACGACATGTCTGTATCTTGGAGAGCCGTCCTGGCCGACGTACCTGGCCGACGAAGTGTCGGCCATGACTGTTTCACCTGGTTGCAGCTGGTTCGATGTTGATGACTAAGCTCACTCATGGAACGAGGTCCTCACGTTGAGGTGGGTTCACCAAGAGTCTTGATCTCATCGAACATGCTCATCGGCCCACAACCCGCCGCGTCCTCCACCGAAAGACCCGATCTGGCAACCGCCATAGCCAAGCTTTCGTGATCCTTGACTGAAAGAAAGACGGTTTTTAGAAAAAACAAACATCGCAAACAACACCATCTCTTCATAATGAAAATAATATACAGCACTTCATCTTCATAACACTGCCGGGCACTAATTCCCCCGAACACGGCCGCCGGCATCCTTGCAACGACGCCGATCTCTACACGTGGTGAGCAACCGGCCTCGGCCCCGGAGACCCCCCAAACACCTCGACGGCCCGGCCCGGAAAAATCACGAAGCATACCTTACCATACACCATGACCGTCGCCGCCGCACCGGGCCTCCAGCCCTTAACCCTCCTGGCAGGCTTCACCTACTACTCCCTCCTCGGAACCTACCTCGACACAGCCCTCCTCCTCGTCTTCACATCCTATCGCAACAAGCGCCTCCTCGCAGACCTAATCTCACCCTACGTAGACCCGCACCTCCTACGCAACCAGCTCCTCCTCCTCCCGGGCTTCCTCCTAGGTTTCGTTCTCTTACAGATATGCCGCTTCCTCCTAGGCCTTGATGCTCCCACCGCGTCAGAAACGGAAACGAGAAAGTGGAAGACGACGCCGGTGAAACCGCTCTTGATCCCTTGTACCACGACACACAGGCGGACGTTTCCCGAGAAACACGCCTTTGTGTACTCGTACCTTGTCGTCGGCATCCCCGTCGGGTGGAAGGGCAACTACGGCGGCATGGTCTCGTGCGACGTCGACGAGGCAGGCTGGTTATCGTGGTTCTCGCTGGCGCCGCGGACGGCGGGACGGGCGTGGTTTCACGTGGATCCGGCGGATTATCTCGAGCGCGGGAACGGGCACCTTGGGTTGAGGGGGAAGCTTGATGCGTATCTCACTTCTCAGGTAAGGCGTCCTTCCACTCAGCCAGGTTTATCCAGAATCTCACTTGAGCAAAACGTGCTACATGAGAATGAACACAAGACTCACATAAGTCACGACAGGGCGCGGATCCAGCGCAGTATCCCAACGCATACCTCGTCACCGCAGCCCGGTTCCTGGGATACCACTTCAACCCGGTGTCCTTTTGGTACCTCTACTCCAGGGACAAGGAGCTGACGGCCATGGTGCTCGAAGTGAACAACACCTTTGATGAGCGGAGGATGTACTTTCTCACCACGGATGCCTTCCCGTCAGAACAGCGTCTCGACGACGGTAGTCATGGACTACAAGACGGCATCGCAGCAGAGTCGGCCTCACAAGACGCAGATGCAGAATCCGCCGCCCAAAAGACGCAGCAGATCAGGATGACAAAAACCTGGCCAAAGGACTTCCACGTCTCCCCCTTCAACTCCCGCAAGGGATCCTACGCCCTCTCCGCGACAGACTTCTTCCCACCGCCACCACCACCGTCCGGCGCCGGTATGGCAGGAGCCGACTACAAATACACCCTCGACAGTACAATAACCCTCTCCTCCTCAAAACACCACCCCAAAATCGTCGCCCGTCTCTTCAACTCCGCCCCGGCCATCGACCCAGCCACCATGACCCCTTTCCAGAAAATCGTCTTCCTCGCCCGCTGGTGGTGGGTAGGCTTCGTCACCTTCCCCCGCATCGTCAAAGAAGCCGCCGTCCTCTCCCTCCGCAAGGGGCTGCACGTCTGGTTCCGCCCGGAACCCCTGAAAGAGAGCATCGGACGGAAAGCCGACGCGACGGAGAGCCGGCTCGAGCCCGTTTTCCGGTCTTACCTCCGCCACCTGGTCGCGCAGTCCACGGCCGCCATCGCCCTCACGTACATTCCCGCGGGAATCACTACCACTTCTGGAGCAGGAGGAGGAGGAGGCCTCACAGAGACGATGCTCTCGCCCGCCGCCCAGAAGAACCCGAAACGTGCAGAGCACCTCGACCTCAAAGTCCTCACCCCCGTCTTCTACACCCGCTTCGTGCGCTACGCACACGACCTCGAGGCCATCTGCTGCGAGTTCCAGGACAACGGTACGCTCTGGATCTCGCAGCCAGAGGTCCTACCGAAGCTCATTCTCAAAAAACCCGCGCCGCCACTAAAGACGACAAACATTCTAGACTACGTCTATTTCAGAGCCATACGCGCCCTGCGGCAGAGGCCGGACCGCATCGAGCGGCCACTGACCTCGGCCACGAAGTCTCCGGAAGCCAAGGACGGCGGCGGCGGCGCCGGCGTACAAAAAGTCGATATCCGCGACTTCCGCATTTCCTCCATGGACGGCTTCGTCCTCGGACACACGGACAGGCAGACGCGGAGTGTGTACAGGTCGCTCGTGCTACGATCGTTCCTCGCCGACCGACTGGCGCTGGGGAGCGTGGAGCTCCTAGATTTGCAGCACTTGATCCTGCGCGCGGGCGTCGCTTGGGTCTTGTCGTCTACCGTCGCTCCGCTCATGAGGTTATGAGAGATACTTTGATACGAGTACCGTAGTACTCAGTAAGCGCCATGCATGTGGCTCACGTTTTGTGTTGCTACCTACTAGAGACAACGCGCAATCAGCCGCGCCTATTAGAAAATCATAGAGAAGGAGAGAAGAGCTAAGATGTAACAAGCAG